TCCATCCATCCATCCATCCATCCATCCATCCATCCGTCCGTCCGTCCGTCCGTCCCTCTTTGTGCATTTTGTAAATAATACCCTTAATTACCTGTACATATACCTGATCATGAGGTATGGATAGTATATATGCAAACTAGTTCATATTCTCTTGGTGTCATCCATTACGTAATCTGGCGAGCAAAGGCTAGCAAGGAGGTTACCATGGCAATCAGGCCACGGATCAACCTCCGGCACCAATCACACTGAATGTATTCAGTGGAGATTTGATACTTACCTAAATTCCATTAAGGGAGAGAGGGATTGGACAAAATCCAAGTAAAGCGAAAAAAAAAAAAAAAAAAGATTCTAATTCGTAAAATCACTGTAAGAACAGTCTTACGGATCTCTTTCAATCTCTTATGCATTATTTACAGAGTCTTTACGTGGATCTTTTTTCCGTCGCGTAACGATGCGTAAGAATACCACAGATAATTGTCGTGTTTACGCATCTTTACGCATTACGCGATCTTGCGCATTTTGTAAATAATGCATACTGAAATATCCTATCGATCTTTACGAATATTTAAGTATAAAATAAATTTTTATACTGTGCTACCAGTATGCTGGTTAAGTTACACGACCATTCCCTTTAATGCGCCGTCCTTCCGTCCGTTCGTCCGTCCGTGCGTCCGTCCGTGCGTCCGTCAACTTTACTCACTTGGTTTAACAACAGTCAGCTTGGCAAGTGGACTTTTTGATACAGGATTATCAAGGTCATTGTCCTTCACCAAAATACATTGGTAGTAGAAAACTTCAATTAGGTTGTTGCTGCTAATACGTAATTCCTTCACGGTAACGGAGTTTCGCCCAACCTCTTTAGCTGGACTAATGTAGGGATTAATGATTACTAGATCCATTCCAGTAATATTCCCTGAAAGAACCTTACAGGAGAATGTGGCCGAGTCGCCTGCAATAGAACAATAACTTGTAAGTGAATAATTTAGCTTGGTTTAATGATGCTCAAACGCGTACGCGCCTTGTTTTCTCTATAGCTGCCCTGAACGCATTATTTGGCCTCTCCTACTCATTTTACGTACCTTCATTCTTGGTTAAAGTCATTGGAGTTATTGTAATGACTGGAAGAACGTTGAGAAATACTGAAGAGGATGCATTCTGATTGCCTTTGCTACAACAATAACAAACCTCTCAGTTAGTTCCTTTAACTAGCTTAAAGGACCGACAGATATAATATATATTGTTGCGCTGCAGAAGTAGAATAATAGAGAGAAGAGCTACTAGTATATCACCTCTTCTGAAAAGTTGCGCGCGAGTTGTTTTATCATACTTGGGAATAAAACCCTCAACGTTAATGGTAATGTACTACGTAGCTGCTTTTCTAGCCCAATGCAGTTTTGTTTTTAGTGATATATCAGCAGTAGTTGCTGTCAATGTTGTTGTTTTTTWAAAATCGTTGTTGTTGTTCTTTTTGTTTGTTTGTTTGCTTTTTTGTTATCAAGGTTGTCGGAATTATCGTGGTCGTATTATCTTCTTTGTCGTTCCTGTTGTCGTTTGGGCACTAGTGCTGTCGATATCTGCACATGGTCGGCTAAAAGAAATAGAACAAAAATGAAATAGTATAATTTACCTTACAACACACATGTAATTCCCTCTGTCGATTGAACTAAGCTTGCGAATGGTTAGAATCGATTTCGTATCGTCCAAAGAGAATTTATGTCTGACATCAAAAACCACAGGTATCCCGTCTTTGAACCAACTAAAGACAGGCGAGCGAGGACCACGCGTTGCCAAGCATTCAAACTCGATTGTAACGCCAGGATATGGAGATGTGTTCGACACAGAGACGTTGGGTCTTGTAAAATCTATAAAAGTATACGGATATGGTAAGCGTGCATGCGGGAGGTTGCTAAGAGAAAAAATGAAGTGTAGTCAAATGCTGTTCTGGTTGCGTATTTATAAAGTTAGTATAATAATTATTAGTTTGATTTAATTCCAATCTTTGTTTTGTAGTATCCTGGATTCCCGGATGAAGCTATGACGTAATCGAGTGTGATCGTATGTGTGCGAATGCGTGAGCATTAAAGATTGTTATGCAACCACATATTGTACTCTTGTGTCCCTTTAAATAGATCTAACATGTTTTACATCGGAAAACACAACAGAAATCACGACCGTGAAGAGTGTTGTAAATCTGATACAAAATTGTGTTCATTTGCATAAACTTTAAGTTGGATTTTCTTGGCCAGATTCACTCTAATTTTGAAAATTTTAGTGAAACACAAAGGAACTAACCTAGACGTTTGATAAGTAGTATACAGTATTCGTGTCCGTTTTGTATCCGATATATCTGATATACAGCACGGCCACTCATTCTTTATGTATTACAAAGATAATTGTAGCTTCGTTGTTTGTTGTGCACAAGCATTTCTGACCATGTGATGCTACTCTTGGGAGTTTACTCTTCCATGTGAAAATATTTTAATGTTCGTCATAAAAGAACAATACTCAAGATGTCATGTGATCTGAATTTGCATATGAAGCTAAAAAGATGTGGTCGTTGACAAGAATTACGGATCAAATTACGATGAAGACCATCAACTAGTATTAAATAGATCACGGGTACAATACAGTACTAATCCAAAGTTTTGGCTGTTATAGTTCTGGCAGGGCCAAAGACGTTTGTTTGCTTGCCTCCAAGCCTGTTGGACCCTGCCCTGCCCTGCCCCTGCCCCTGCCCTGCCCTGCCCTACTTCTCGCAAGCAACCAATATTCTATTACTTACTTAGTTCCTTTTCGATGCTTGTTTTACTGGGATCTATTATATAATTAGGAAAATAGTTTTTCATAATCTCTCCCCTTAAAGGCCTTTCAAACTCTAGTCGGTCTGGGTTTGCAGCCACCATTTGTAACTCAGAAACTACGCTTCCATTACTGACGAGAAAAAAAAACAAACAATATATTTAACCTTTTTTATTTTTTATTTTCAATATCTTCATCATCATTTATATTCTCTATTCTTAAAATAATTCAGGGAAAAGTAGGTTTTTATTCGTACCTAAATAAGAGTAGATCCAAGGATCTGATCCAAAAATGCCTCTTCACCTGCTGGAATTGACGTCGTATCTGAAAAATATAGTGAGGATCAGTACATAGTCTTACTTACCCCTGTGGTGAGG